ATGGCCCGCTCGCGCTCCGCGCTCGCCGCGGCGGCCCTCGCGCTCGCCGCGGCCCTCTGCGCGGGCCTCGGCGCCGCCGCCTTCCTGACCCCGCCCGCGCGCGGCCGCGCCCCCCCGCGCACGGCGGGGCCGGCCGGTGCCCGCGCGCCGCAGGAGGCGGCGGGCGCCGGCGGCGGTGGCGCCGCCCTCGCGGCGCGCGCCGCCAGCGCCACGGCCTTCTCCGGCGCGACGCTGCTGCCGGCCCTCAGAGCCCCGAATCATCCGGGGTAACGCGGGTCAGGGCTAACTCGGGTTTGTTTTTTTCGGGATCCCGAGCCCGAGTTACCCCGGACCCGACTTTTACCCCGGATAGTTCGGGCGTCCAGAGCCCCGAATCATCAGGGGTAGCTCGGGTCAGGGCTAACTCGGGTTCCTTTTTTTCGGGAATCCAAACCCGAGTTACCCCGGACCCGAGTTACCTCGGATAACTCGGGCGCCCAAGGCCCTGCTGCTGAGCGCCCGCGCCACGGTGAGCGTGTGCGCCGCCGTGGCGCGCCACGCCAAGGCGCCCGTGTCCGAGTACGGCGCTCCCTCGGGCGTGCGCAACTTCCAGGAGATGACGCTCGGGTTCACCTCGGACATCGCGAAGAACAACCTCGGGGAGTCGTTCTACCGGCCCTGGGTGCCGTTCGTGACCACGATCTTCCTCTTCATCTTCGGCTCCAACTGGTCTGGGGCGCTGGTGCCGTGGAAGCTGCTGGAGCTTCCGGAGGGCGAGCTCGCGGCGCCCACCAACAATATCAACACTACCGTGGCACTGAGCTTGCTGACCTCGATCGCCTACTTTGGCGGCGGCTTGGTGAAGAAGGGCCTCGGGTACTTCGCGCGATACGTCAAGCCCACGCCCATCCTGCTGCCAATCAACATCCTCGAGGACTTCACCAAGCCGCTCAGCCTGAGCTTCAGGCTCTTCGGGAACGTGCTCGCGGATGAGCTCACCGTGGCAGTCCTCACCTTCCTGGTTCCCTTCGTCATCCCCCTGCCCATCATGGCGCTGGGCATCTTCGCGGGCTCAATCCAGGCGCTGATCTTCGCCACTCTTGCGTCGGCGTACATCGCCGAGGCCATCGAGTGAGAAGGGGGCCGCAGCCTGGTCGCTTTTTGTTGTTCGTCTGCAGCGATCCGCCACCAGCATCTCTTGGTGCCTCGCCCACGCGGCGTGGCGCGCCAGGGCAGGCGGGCAGTGGTGAGCGCAGGCGGACGAAAATCAAGGAATATGCACAGGCAGTGATAGAAAGACAGGGCCAGAAAGAGAGAGAAAGTAAGACAGAGCGATGATGCAAGGATGTTCAGGGATGGGGACAACGAAGATGAGCAGGGATAGTGCATGGGGCAGTGTGAGAGAGGGGGGGGAAACGTAAAGTCTGAGGGTGATGCTACCTGCAGTAGAGACGAACGCGATCGTGGTTGTGGCGCGGACAAGTTCGATTTTTACCTTACTGGCAACGACGAAGAGACCGAATAGCACATAATGATATTGGTAACGGCGACGGCGATGAGGATTACGTACTAGCCGGCCGCTCTGCGGTTGATCGGGAGTTTCTGTATATTGAAGAAGGGGCGTGCGCTTATGGTCGATGACGCTGGTGGGACAGAAGGGGCGGCGGTGGCGGGCGGGTGAGGATCAGGAGGGTGAGGATGAAGAGAGTGAGGGCCAGGCGAGTGCGGATAATGAGGAACAAGAGAGCGAGGATGAAGAGAATGAAGATCAGGAGGGTGACGATCGGGCGGGCGAGGATTACTGGGGTCAGGATCGGGCGAACGTGGAGCAAGATATCGGGGATCAGCAGAGTGATGATCACGAGGATGAAACAGGAGGGTGAGGACGAGGAGAGTGACGATCAAGAGAATGAGAATCAGGAGGGTGAGGATCAGGATCATTAGGCAGGAAGGTGAGGATTTGGGGAGCAAGAATAGGAAGGGTGAGAACCATGAGGTTTGAGGATCAGCAGGGCGAAGGCCAGGAGGGTTGAGGATCAGGAGGGTTGAGGATCAGGAGGGCGGAGGTGAGGAGGGTGAGGACCAGGAGGGTGGGGACGATGGCGACGGCCGTGACGACGACGACGACGACGACGACGACGACGACGACGACGACGACGACGACGACGAGGTTGCTCGCGTCAAGCATTGGCCGATGCGTGCTAGGAAGCTCGTCCCGGAAGAACAGCATGGTGCCATTGCCACGGGGTCGGTGCGCCAGAGAGGAGCGCACGCCCAAGGAATCTTGCCACACAGCACAACGCATTGTCACAGCGCTTCTCTCTTGAGAAGCGGCCATCGTGCCCGCGGATTGACGGAACACGTTTCCCAACGCAGGCCCCAAAACGGTGACCATCGAATTGCTAAGGATGCACCTTGTTTGGGGAAGCACTGTTTGAGAAACAGCTGCGTCATACGGGGCCCTCCCGAAGCGCTCCCGAAACCCTTTCCAAAACCTCATAAGCGCGAGCGCAAGGCGGGGGGAGCGGACCTATGGACCCTTCCTGGGGACCAGACTTGTCATGCCTAGCCCCTAGCCGAGCCGTTCCCTGGAGGGCCCTGGGCACGGAAACGGTCTCAGGGCTTCTGGGGGAGTCGTTGGGTTCTTTCCCACCACCCCTTCCCCGCAGAGGATGTCAGCAATTTCCCTTGAACAGCCCGAGCGCATGCGGGGGATCTCCTCGAAACCACGCCCACCTCTCCGGGGGCATCCATGGCCACCCGAAGGCTACCTGTTCCTGCAATCGTGGAGCAACGATCTGCAACACACGCGGAGAGCTCCCCGAAGCCCTCTCCACTGGCCAGGGCTGCCCGAGGCCCTTGTAGACTTCACCCCGAAGGCCCGGAAAAGGAGCAGGAGGAGGATCCTGGACGAGGAGAAGGAGGCGCTCCAGCCATCGAGGCTACGGAGAAACTTGAGCCCTGGAGGCCACGGAGGAGGACCACGAGAAGAGGACAATTTGCTGGCCACCCGGCGTACCACGGCGAGGGGGAGGACCACCAGGAGGACTACGAAGAGACCACGCTTTGACGCCGCAGTCCGGCTTGTGTGACCTGTGCCCGAAATTGTTGTGAAACGCAGCCCACTGCGGAATCTTTGCCGCCGATACACTGTAACGCCGCCATCTGGCTTGTGCAGCTTCCGCCCCAAACCCTGAACGTTCACACGTCGACCCCGTCCCGCTCCCATGCTGGCATCCTCGACCTTCCCCTCATCATCCTGCCGCCTCCTCCTCCTCTTCCTCCTCATCTTCCTCCTCCTCCTCCTCATCCGCCTCCTCCTCCTCCTCCTCCTCCTCCTCCTCCTCCTCCTCCTCCTCCTCCTACTAACCGCATGCCGATGAGAATAAAGTGACCCCCCCCTTAAGTCGTTAGAGTTTTTTATCGTCGACCAATAAGAGTTTGGTCGGGGGCGCGGGGGCGCGGAGGCCGAACTTCATTATCACGGCAAAAGTTCGCCATCGAAGTTACTTCCTTCTTATGTTGAGATAACAACATCAAGCGAAGCGAACACGTTGTTTCAGGATGTCTCAAGCGAAACCAATGTCCTTCTGTCTCTTTGTAGTTCTTTATGTCTCTCTTTCTTTCTTACTCTGTCTCTCTTTCTCTCTCTCTCTCTCTGTCTCTCTATCTGTTTCTCCTTCCTGGCCTCTCTGTCTCTCTCTCTCTCTGTCTCTCTATCTCTTTCTCCTCCTCCTCCCCCTGGCGCCCTGAACTTGTTTATCGCTGGGGTTGATTATCGAGGGAAAACGAGGCACGTGAGCTACCCTACACGAGCACTTAAAAATCTTAATTTTCGTAAAGCGCTTGTAAATAAACTTTAATACATTTGAATATTCAGATTTGTTGTTTTATCCTCCTTTCCTCTTCTCTTTATCCTTTTCATTTATTATCGAGGGATTTGTCGAGGATGTCTCCAGCGAGATAAGCCATTGTTGAGGATATTTCTATGAAGACTAAACGCCAAGGATGTCTCAAAACGTGCTCGGCTTGGTCTCCTCTGGATCATCTCTTACTTCGAGATTATGCTGAGGTCTGGTGGGCTACTTTGATTATCTCCCCCTGAACCCCGAACTGTATTATCCCCTAGTGTTTATTCTCGAAGGTATTCGGTTATTCCTCCTCATCCGCCTCCTCCTCCTCCTCCTCCTTCTCGTCCTCCTCCTCCTCCTCCTCCTCCTCCTCCTCCTCCTCCTCCTCGTCGGGGGGGGCCGACTTTGAGAGGATATCCCAAGGGAAAGCGTCGGTTCGGGATTCTCCCAGCGCAGGCGCGGATTCGCTGGAAACGGTGCATTCTCCCAGCATAGGCGCCGGATTTGCCAGACTCGCTGGAAACGGGGCTTGCCAGGAGGCAGGCCGATTTCGAGAGGATGTATCAAGCGAGAGCGTCGGTTCGGGATTCCCCCGACGCAGGCGCCAGATTCGCCGGAAACTGTGACAGGAAGTTTTCTCGGCTCCCCCTCAGGGCTGATTTGAGACGCCAGAGCCGATTTTGAGAGGATGTCCCAAGCGAGAGCGTCGGTTGGGTCTCCCAGCGCAGGCGCCAGATTCGCCGGAAACGGTGCCGGAAAGCTCACTTGTTGGGCTTATTTTTTCGCGCGCCAGGGGTGAGGATGACGGGAGTTCCGCCAGAAATTTCTTCAAATGATACGGTGGTCATGATGATGGTGGCGAGACAGCCTGACGGCACCAGAAGGCGAGCATGGTGGGAGGCTGTCTTGGAGCTCTGGAAGGTGAGGAGGACGAGGGACAGGAGGAAGCGGATACGTCTGTAGACGTGTTGAGCAAGCATGGTGAGCATCTCGGGAAGGTTGGCGAGCTTGAACATCCTCTTTCTTCTCCCTCTTGCTGCTGCTCCCTTCGTTCTCGACGTGCAGAGAATATGAACGCCTCGGAAGGGGTCTGGTTGCGGTCTCGAACTGGGTTGGCCTTCGCCCCGGGGAACCTGCCCCACTGGCGCTAGTTCTGGGTGTGTCCCTGCATGCCTGAGGAGGAGGGCGGGCACGACGAGGAAGAAGATGAAGAATGGTGACGTGGAGGAGGAAGTGGAGGAGCCCAGGGCGAGGAGGAGCAAGTGACGTGGTGGAGGAGGAAGTGGAGGAGCCCGTCCACGTGGGAGCAGAAGGAGCCCTTCGTCCACGTGGGGGCAGAAGGAGGAGCAAGTGGTGGAGGAGGAAGTGGAGGAGCCCCCCCGCGTGCCGTGGCCCTGAGAAGGGCGGCCCTCGAGGCACGAGCCCGCGCCCCCCCCCCTCCGTGGCCGAGCGAGGCACCTCGCGGCCCCCCCGACTCGAGCGCCGACGACGCTGCGCCCCCCCCCGCCCCATGAGTTTGCTCAGCCCTCCGCCGCGGCCGCCGCCAGCCGCGGCTAACGGCGTCGACGGCGACGAAGACGACGACGACGACGACGACGACGACGACGACGACGACGACGACGACGACGACGACGACGACGACGACCTCGGCGGGGACGCGCCGCGACCTCGGAGGCGCGGAAGCGCAAGCAAACCAAGAAGGTGGAGCGGTGGGTGCGGAAGAACAAGCTGGACCAGAAGGTCGCTCCTCTCGGCGCGCGACGCTCGCGTGCTGCGCCTCGCGATTCGCGGCGGCTCGCGGGGGGGGACGCCAGGGAGGAGCCACCAAGGAGGAAAAGGAAGAGGAGGAGGAGGAAGGAGGAGGAGGAAGGAGGAGGAGGCGAGGCCTTGAGGACTGATGGGGAAGGAGGTGGAGGCGGGTTTGCCACTGCGCCCTCGACGATCCAGCGCCCTTGGACTCTATGTGAGGCGCGCTCGTGCCGAGCAGGGACAAGGACGAGTATGAGGAGTATGGGGGAAGGGTGATGCGATGGTGGCGGTGGTCACTGCATAAGGGTTCAACAAATCCCGAGCAGGGCAACACGCACCACGACCACGACGACGCCGACAGCGACGACGGGGACGAGGCTCGCAGACGATCTGCACCGTAATATGAATTAAGGAAGGGGCCCACCCTTCAGGTTCGGTTGAACAGCGTATCGTTGAGCGGTGTTGCAGCCTCTCCTGAGCACAGCCCCCCCCCCAGAGGATCAGCCAGACAAGGCGGGTTTGCACCCTCATGCCTTGCTGGACTCGGGGCGCGTTTCGGTACTGCCGCTGCCGCCGCCCTCCCCCCGTCAGGACCATCGACTCAGCTGACGGCGACAGCGGCAGTGTCGGTGGCCGACGCGTCCCAGAGCTAAGTGCTCTAAGCAGCGCGGCTGAGAGAGCTCGGAATAGTGACGGACGGACGGACGGACAGCCAGGCGGCGTGCAATGGTTGGCACGTCAAGTGGGTGATGATTTGGAGGGCGACGATGACGGGCTGCGGATGAGCATCGCGATCTCTGTTCATTTGGCTCTCGATGCGAACGGCACTCGCGCGAGTTAACACCATGCTGACGAGCCTGTTTTCGTGGAAAAAGAGGAACGCGTTCGATAGCGAGGGGGGGGGGCCGAAGGGGAGGAGGGCGAAGCTCCTCCCAAGTTCTCCCCCCCAGGGGGGTGCCAAGCTTTCGGACCACAATTGAGGCCTCCAGCGGCCGTTCAGGAAGATCCCAGCACCCCCGAGAACGCCCCCGACGAGGCGCAGCTGCTGGAAGGCATCCCGACGCGGCGAGGGAGATTCCCAGAACCGAGACCGGGGGCATATACTCGGAGGGCGACGAGGGCGAGAGGACCAAGCCGGAGCTACCCGCCATAGCAGCCGCAGCCGCCGCCGCGCCGCCGCAGCAGCTGCTTCAGCCGCAGCCGCCGCGGTCGCCGTGCTGCCGCTGGCCAGCGGCCACCCGCCGCCGCGCCGCCGCCCGTCGCTGCCGCAGCACGCGCGCCACGAGCAGCCGCGCCACCGCGCGCGGCTCCGCCATGGCGCGCGGCGGCGGCGCGCCGGCGCTGCGGCGCCGCGCCCGGCCGCTGGTGCGGCCAGCGGTGCTTGCGTTGGCGGCCGCGGCAGGCCCCAGCGGCAGGGGAGCTCTACTCCTCATTCTGCTCCTCTTCCCGCCTGCTCTGAGGCTCGCGCTCACGGGAGATCCGGCGCTCCTGGCCCCGACACAGCTGGGTGTTTGGGCCGGTATGTTCATGCCCAGGGGGCCCCAGGAGCCGCCCCGCGCGCGCGGACTAGACATATCCAGACCTGTTGCCGGAGAGTTTAGCACGCCTCTGGCCCGTTGGGCCGGCGAATTTTCTTCGGCAGTGACAGGGCGGATCCCGTCGCCCAGAAAGACCCCGAGAAGCTTGCAAAATCAGATGCTTCCTGAGGTGATGTATTTTCATAAGTGGGAGACTCCCCTCCTGCGGGTCTATCAGCTTTTCGCGGCCATCTCGACCGTAGTTCGTGTTGTCGGGACCCAGGGTCAGCCATCAGCGCCCGCCGCCGACGCCGAGGCACGCGAAGATAGCCACGCCTCGGCAGGGGCTCGAGCGTGTCACGGGCAACAGCAGCATACGGCAGCACTGGTCTCGTTTTCGCTGTGAGTGCGACCCACCCGAGCCTCGGTCGTGAGTTGGATGCAGAAGAATCCATGCCAAGGAACGACGTTTGATTTTCATTCTCTTGCCTCCCTGCACCCCTTCCCTCGTCATCGAGGACAAGACTGCGCACCCCTCTCATTCCCTGCAAGTAACGCGTGGACAGTTGTGGTGCACGAGGTGTGCACGTTCGTGTAGTTCCACGGGTCCAGGAGGCGGAACGTTTGTCATGATGATTTCAGACAGCCTTGGTGATGTGGGCACGGACATGGAAGGAGGTTCTGTGGCGTTCAGCTAAACGTCAGCCTCCCAAAGATGTGGCGGAGGCGTGGCACAGTGGGGACCCTACTTTGCCTTTCCAGGCCCACCGAGCCAGGCGGGCTCACATCATTCACTGAGGGGTTCGGTTGTAGGGCCGCGGCGCGTCGGGTGCCACGTCCGCGCCCCCATCGGTCGGCCGATCCTCCTCCTCCTCCTCCTCCTCCTCCTCCTCCTCCTCCTCCTCTTCCTCCTCCTCCTCCTCCTCCTCCTCCTCCTGTGTAAGCCCGGCTCGTGGTACCTGCACCTGGCGGGCGCCGCAGAAACAGATGTAAAGGGGGAAGGGCGGCACAGTGTAGAACATGTCGTAGGCGCCCGCCAGGTACAAGGGGCAGGACGTACCTTAGTAGGACACAGGTAAGCTTAATGGTGCGATCAAATAATTGGTAAAAGCTGCTGCCGTATAAAAAAGGTTCAGGTACAAGAGACTTGCTGGTTCTATGAGCAGACGTTAGGCTTGCCAGGATGTTCGCTGGCCGGCTGAAAACCTAAAACGTTTGCGCCGCTTGTGTAGGGGCAGTCTAAGTGATGATGTGACGCTGGTATGTGCTGCTCCCCCCACTGAAGAGACCCTTCCCCAGCCCCACCACGGTAAAGTCAGGTGTTCAAAAGTTAGCAAGTGAATGGGTGCCTGCCTAGTATGCAATTATTGGTCTGCCACCCTTATGCATGAAGGGATCGGCTCGGTTCGGTTCGGTCCGGTTCTGCAGCCGGGTCGGTTTTGCTTGGCCGGTTCGGTTTGGCATCGGTCCGGTTTCGGCCGGTTCGGCTTGGGCCTGCCGCCGGTTCGGTTCGGTTCCGGTTTTCGCGCGGTTGGGTCCGACCGGTTCGGTTCGGTTCGAGTGGCCGCTCCGGTTCGGTTCGGCCCGACTGGTCAGGTGCGACGTTGGGCGCCCCGTCTGCGTAAGCGACGACCCAGTTTGAAAAAAAAAAAGGAGGAGGAGGAGGAGGAGGAGGAGGAGGAGGAGGAGGAGGAGGCGGAGGCGGAGGCGGAGGAGGGAGGAGGAGGACGACGAGGAGGAGAAGGAGGAGGAGGAGGAGGAGGAGGAGAAACGTGGAGGCGTGGAGGCGCGAGGCCCTCCAGCGACGTGCCCCGACGGGGGTCGCAGCCCCGAGGGGGGTCGCAGCCCCGAGGGGGGTCGCAGCCCCGAGGGGGGTCGCGCCCGCGAGGGGGGTCGCGCCCGCCAGGGGGGTTGCACCCGCCAGGGGGGTTGCACCCGCCAGGGGGGTCGCGCCCGCCAGGGGGGTTGCACCCGCCAGGGGGGTTGCACCCGCCAGGGGGGTTGCGCCCGCCAGGGGGGTTGCACCCGCCAGGGGGGTCGCGCCCGCCAGGGGGGTTGCGCGCCGCCACCCGCCAGGGGGGTCGCGCCCGCCAGGGGGGTGCGCCCGCCAGGGGGGTCGCCAGGGGGGTGCGCCCGCCAGGGGGGTTGCACCCGCCAGGGGGGTTGCCACCCGCCAGGGGGGTGCACCCGCCAGGGGGGTTGCGCCCGCCAGGGGGGTTGCACCCGCCAGGGGGGTTGCACCCGCCAGGGGGGTTGCACCCGCCAGGGGGGTTGCGCCCGCCAGGGGGGTTGCACCCGCCAGGGGGGTTGCGCCCGCCAGGGGGGTTGGGGGTTGCACCCGCCAGGGGGGTTGGGGTTGCACCCGCCAGGGGGGTTGCACCCGCCAGGGGGGTTGCACCCGCCAGGGGGTTGCACCCGCCAGGGGGGTTGCACCCGCCAGGGGGGTTGCACCCGCCAGGGGGGTTGCACCCGCCAGGGGGGTTGCACCCGCCAGGGGGGTTTGCACCCGCCCCGCCAGGGGGGTGCGCCCGCCAGGGGGGTTGCACCCGCCAGGGGGGTTGCACCCGCCAGGGGGGTTGCACCCGCCAGGGGGGTTGCGCCCGCCAGGGGGGTTGCGCCCGCCAGGGGGGTTGCACCCGCCAGGGGGGTCGCGCCCGCCAGGGGGGTCGCGCCCGCCAGGGGGGTTGCACCCGCCAGGGGGGTCAGGGGGGTGCACCCGCCAGGGGGGTGGGGGGGTTAGGGGGTTGCACCCGCCAGGGGGGTGCCAGGGGGGTTGCGCCCGCCAGGGGGGTTGCACCCGCCAGGGGGGTTGCACCCGGGGGTTGCACCCGCCAGGGGGGTTGCGCCCGCCAGGGGGGTTGCACCCGCCAGGGGGGTTGCGCCCGCCAGGGGGGTCGCACCCGCCAGGGGGGTTGCACCCGCCAGGGGGGTTGCGCCCGCCAGGGGGGTTGCACCCGCCAGAGGGGGTCGCACCCGTCAGGGGGGTCGCACCCGCCAGGGGGGTTGCACCCGCCAGGGGGGTCGCACCCGCCAGGGGGGTCGCACCCGCCAGGGGGATCGCGCCCGCCAGGGGGGTCACAGCCCGCGAGGGGGGTCGCACCCGCGAGGGGGGTCACAGCCCGCGAGGGGGGTCGCGCCCGCCAGGGGGGTCGCAGCCCGCGAGGGGGGTCGCACCCGCGAGGGGGGTCACAGCCCGCGAGGGGGGTCACAGCCCGCGAGGGGGGTCACAGCCCGCGAGGGGGGTCGCACCCGCCAGAGGGGAAAGGGGTTCGGTTCGGTTCCCGTCGGTTCGGTTCAGGGGCCGCCCGGTTCCGGTTCGGTTCCGGTTCTGGTTCGGTTCGGTCCTCGCCGGTTCGGTTCTGAATGAATTCGGTTCGGTCCGGTTCGGTTTTCTACGTTCCTGGTTTTGGACCGGTTCGGTCCGGTTCGGTCACGGTTCTCGGTTCTCGGTTCGGTGCGGTCCCTTCATGCTTATGGTCGGAGAAAAGCATAGTGTTGCTATGCTGGAACAGTCAACGAGAGAGGTGACCGAAGCTGGTCGGTGCTGCCGTCCTCCACCACCCATCCTCTGTCACATACCCAACCCGAGACCTCCACCACGTTATAGTAGGGCGTCCAAAGAGGAAGGGCACAGTGCTTGCCTAGTGTGCGATAATTGGGCTGTTACCCGAAATGTCAAACAATGTTTTGCTGTACTGGCGCAGTCAAAGAGTTGACTGAGCAGGTCGGTACAGCAGTCCTCCACCCCCACCCCGCCCCCCAGCCTCCTGGGGATCCACGCTAGAGTCAACCGTCCAAAAAACAAGTGAACGGTGTTTGCCTAGTAAACATTCTTTGCCTGCTACCATGAAGGTTAAAAAGTGTGCTGCTGTGCTCAAGCAGACAAAGAGAGGTAATGATGCGGGTCGGTGCCGCAGCCCTCCACCACATCCCGACCCCAATCCTCCACCACGTAAAGGGGTCAGGCGTCCAAGAGCACGTGGCAGCGCTTGACTAGTATGCAATTCTTGGGCTGCTACCCGTAAGGTCAGAAAAGAGTACAGCTGTGCTGGAGCAGTCTTGCTTGTGCGGGCAGGCTGTAGGCTGGCCAGAGGTATTGGCTGGCCTGCTGAGGTGGCGGAACAAGCATGCTGTGTCGATTTGAGTCCTCCACTTCCTCCTTTTCTACCAACCCATCCCCTATCCACGTCATGTATCATGCCTGCGACACGCAAATCTAGAACGCAGTCGTTGAAACGTGGGGTGGCTGGACAAATGTGGCAGTTCTTGGGTTGCTGCCCAGGGTTTCAGGGTTCACCCCAGGCCTCCTTGATCCCGGGGCCCTCGTGTGTTGTTGTAATTTCTTCCCGGGCTTAGCACGAACCCAGTGCGTCAACAGCTCGGAAGCTACATGTCCCTGTTGTTGTTGAGCACTCTGTAGGCTGGCCAGAGGTGTTGGCCGGCCTGTTGCAAGCGTGGGCGTGCTGTGTCTCATGCCAACTTTTTTCTTGTGGGTCAGAAATCGGTGACAGGGCTGGAGCAAATGTAGGCTGGCAATGAGTGTAGCCGAAGCGCCTAAAAAGAAATAACTGTGCCGCTTGTGCTGGGGCAGCGTAAATGCAGAAGTGACGCAGGTATGTGCTGACCTGAGTGCATGTGACGCGGGTATGCGCTGCTCTCGACACGTTTGAGTCAAGCGTCCAAAAGCAAATGAACGGTGCCTGCATGGCAAGCAGTTCTCAGGCTGTTACCATAGGTGTCAACAGCGAATGCGCTGCTGTGCTCTAGCAGCCAGGGTGAACATATGCTAGCCTAGTATGCAGTTCTTGGGCTGCGACGCGCGAAGTCAGAGAAAACACTGCGCTGCTGTGCTCACGTAGCCAAAGAGAGAGGTGACCGAACCTGGTCGGTGCCGCCGTCCCCACCACAACCCCCAACCTCAGATAGGAACCCATCCGTCCCCAATCCATATCAGAATGAACGGTGCCAGTCTGTGGCGCAACTCTTGGTTGCGAGCCCAGAGGTCAGAATGATTGGTTGAAAGTGTGTCGCGATAGAGCGGGTAGCGCAATCTGAAATACCCAGCTGCACGGTCCTTTTCCCCGGTTGCGTTGCTGCACGGCCCTCCTCCCCTTCCCATTCTTGCATGGCAACCCACCCCACGCGTCCCCAAGATCAGAGTAAGGCTGGCTGTGATGCAGGCTTGAGCGGTAGCAAAAACGGATGCAACCGTTCGCTAGAGGTGTGGGCACCACGCAAAGCAAGCAGCAGCGACGGGGAAGAGAGTTGGGCATTGAGTGGGAGTGGCATCTGCGATGCCTCCTGTATCCTCTGTCCCCCGCACGTTGCCTGCCGAAAGTGAGGGGGGAATGGGGGATCAGTAGTCGATGTTCCGCGGTAATCGGCTTACCGATGGCATCTGTGGTCGTTGTTTTGGCATGTTGCTGTGTGCCTCCTGCACGCTCACGGTAAGCTGTGTATCGGTTAGGTTGCCTTGTTGTTGTCGTAGTCGTAGCCTTGCGGCTCGGGTTTGGGCGGTGCCTTGCACAGGCGTGGCATTGGCTTGTGCGGTGGCCCCTTGGAAGGTACTTCTTGGAGGTAGGTGTTGTGGAGACTGGCGGGAGACTGCGCGTGGCGTGTATGATGCGAGCGGAGCGAGTCGATGTAGGCGTGGAAGTTGGGGTCGTCTTTGCTGTGTACGAAAATGACTCTGCGCTTGTAGATGATATTGTGCTGCTCGCCAAGCCTCACGTAGATATTGAGCGCGGCAGGGACGCGGCTTACGCGGGGTGGGAAGTAGGCCTGTAATGTGGCGTAGTCGTGGGGCGCCAAAGAGTGCAACTGTACTTCTTGTAGCCAACTCTGTGCCGTTATATCTTCGTGATGCGGGCAAAGGAGTGGTATTTGGAGTGCTGGTGGTGGTGTGTGCGCTCGTATAGCTATTCTTGATTGTAGGTGAGCATTTTGTGATGGCCTTCGTGTGCGGTGTAATTGGCGTGTTTGTTGTCGGGACGTCAGTGATAATGTGCATGGTCCTCGGTTTTGGGGGTGGCTTGTTAGCCGCGAAAGTGGGTGGCGGTGGTGGTTTCTTGGCTGGTGGTGTGTCTGGTGGCCTGGAGTGTTGGCGTAGGATTGTTCGTGATGTTTGGTTGCGAGGGTAGGGTTGGTGCTTGTGGGTTGTCAAGTGTGTGGTGGGTAGTGGTGGTGCTTTCTTAGCAGGTGGTGTAGGCTTGGTCGTCTGGATTGTGGGCGGCACTGCTGGTCTGTCGGTGGTCTCGGCTGCGTCGGTTGGAGTGTGCGTCGTAGTAAGTCGTTGAGGTAAGGTGGGTGCTTTTCTTTTGGGGGCAGTGGGGTGTACTTGGTTGGTGGCGGTGCTGTTGGTGGTGCTGGTCGGTCGTCGGTCGTGTTTACTGTTGTCGGTGTGTTTTCTTCGCTTATGCTGTCGACGTCGGTCGGTGGAGTGGGTCTGATGATGCTGGGGGCGATCGTCGGGTTGCAAGTTTGTTGTAGTGGCGCTGCCGTGTCGCGTATGTTGACTGCCCAGTCGTTTTTCATTTAGTTGTCGTCGTTTTGGCACGTCCCATAGCCATTGTGCAATTTCTTGTTTTGCCGCAATCTTGTTGGGTTTGAGTGGCGCGGGTCCTCCTGTCATAATTGCTGGCTGGTTGTAGCTACGTCAAGTCGGAATGGGGCGTTGTTGTGGTAATGGGTTGCCAATGCGTTCATGTTGCCGTACGGAGGTAGGGTCAGACGTTTCTGTGGCTTGGGCAAGGGTAGGTAGGGGTCGGCGTGGACGGCGTCTTTGAGTTTGAGCTGTTTTGTTGTCGTCGTAGGTGGTAGTGCGTAAGTCGAAAAATGACGTCGCTCGGGTGTCTGATCGAAGCGATGTGTGTGGCAGGAATTTGGTGCCATTTTGGTGTGCATCGAGTTCGTTGTCAAATGTATCCAGGTATCTGTTCCACCCAGGCAGAAGTAAGCCATCGTTAGGGAAGTTGTACGAGTAAGTTCTGGACTGTTCGTGGTAGTAGACCGCGTAATGCCATCTGTCGTCTTCGTAGCCGTCGGTGTCGGTGTCGCTGGCGAGGTAGTAGTATGCTCTCCACCCGCTATGGCAGCACATGTCATGGTATCGGTTTGACTTAAATGATGTAAGGTAGAACTCGTGCGTGTCCGAGGCTCCGTTCATCTTGGCCCATGGGTCGTTGCCGTCTAGTCTGTCGTCGAAGTCCGTTGTGTCGTAAATCAAAGTCGGGTATGTGCCCCCACGGGTTAGTGTGAGTCTCGGGGTGTGCTCGTTGTGTTGCTGTTGGCTGTGTTGGAGGTGTTGTTATTTGTGCAGGTGGGGGCGGTGCGGTATATTCTCGTAGCTGGCGTCGGGTGTTGCTTTGTCTAGTTTTGTGTTGCTGCTCTTGAAGGCTAGTTTGGGTATTCGCTGCTGTGGTGGTGTCAGTTCTGTGTGACTTGAGCATATGTTTTGTTCTTTGTCCAAGTGCTCGTAGTGCCTTTTCTCTACGTTGTAGTGTACTTCGAGCTGTCTTTGAACGAAATCGTAATGCGGATGATCGGCAGGGATGTCGGCACAGAACTTGAATCCGTTCTTCGTGACCATGTGTTTTGGTGGGCTCTTCCTCCTCCTCCTCATCCTCCTCATCCTCCTCACCCCCCTCCCTCGCATCTTCCTGGGAGGAGGATGGGGGAATGGGGGTGGGGAGGGCAGCCGCCCTATCCTCCTCCTCCGGAGAGGAGGACACGTGCGATTCCTGTAGAGCTGGGACGAGCGCTTCTGGCACACGGCGGTGCGAGGGCTCGCGTGCGCCAGCACCCTGCTGGGCCCCAACCGTCTTCCTTGTGAGTGTGACAGCAGGAATCACGACGCGCCTCGGAGAGCAGCGCGCAAACAGTTCGTATGGAGATACGGGAAGGAGAGAGGGATAGAGAGAGAGAGAGAGAACACAAAAAAACAGAGCACAACTACAAAGCAACAACCGAGACTGGGCCAGGCGTGGAGCAAGACAGGGAAGCTGTGGCGATGCGCGCGAGCAGACAGCAGGGGGCACCCAGAACAAAGCCAGGCCGCGCATCGCCTTGCTTTCACCACCCACCAAACCACCCCAACCCAACCCGAAAGCTCAAATTTACCCTCGATTTCCTGTGGGGGGGGGAGGGGTCGGGAAACATCGAAAAAGCACATGTGGAACCCTTACCCACCCAACCCGAAATTCGGGTCTTCGGGTTGGGGTGGTCTGGTAGGTCGTCAGCTTGGCCAGGGCCGTCCTGGGCCCTGAGATGGGTGTGCCGAGGCCCAGAGGGCTTATACACTGCGCCGCGGCCCAGGACGGCCCCGACGCCTCCGCCGCCGGGTGGGGCAGGGAGGCCCTCCGCCCCTCGCCGGGCCTCCACGCCCGACAACGCCTCGTCGAGGACGCCCCCTCGTCGACAACGCCTCGTCGTCGTCGACGACGCCTCGTCGTCGTCGTCGTCGACGCCTCGTCGTCGTCGTCGTCGTCGTCGTCGTCGTCGTCGTCGTCGTCGTCGTCGTCGTCGTCGTCGTCGTCGTCGCCCCCTCGTCGACGCCCCCTCGTCGACGCCGCCTCGTCGACGACGCCCCGTCGTCGTCGGGGGCCCTCTGCACTTCCCCCCACCGCCGCCGCCCCCGAGCCTGCGCCGCGCTGCGCGCTGGCCGCGTGGCGGCGGCCGCCGCCGCCGTGCTGCCGGCGGGGGGCGCGGGCGGCGCGCGGCCCCACTGCGCCCGCGTGCTGGTCGCGGGAGGCGGCCGGGGGCAGCGGGCTTCGGGGCCGGGTGATGGTGATGCTGCGGGTGATGGCGGTGTGGCGATGGCGGCGGTGGTGTCGGTGGCGTTGGCGATGAGGATGGTGGCGATATGATGATTATGTAGGGGGCTACATGCGAACCCTACCCCTACCCCCCACGATTTCTGAGGTGTAGGGTGGGGTTCACTTCGCTTGGGAGCTCCCGAGCAAAATAAACCCCACCCTCCCCCTCAGAAATCGTGGGGGGTAGGGGTAGGGTTCACATGCGGCCCGCTATTATGGGGATGGTGAGGGTGATGGTGATGATGAGGATGAGGCTGACGATGCTGATGGTGATGTTGACGACGATGAAGGTTACGTTTGGTGATATGCTGACGATGCTGATGATGATGAGCAGACTGGTGATGATGGTGTTGATGATTATGATGTGGATGATGATGCTGATAATGATGATGATGGTGGTGCTGATGTGGATGAGGATGGGGACAAGGATGAGGCTGAGGCTGAGGATGAGGATGGTGACGGTGATGGTGAAGGTGCTTATGGAGATGCTGATGGTTATGACCATGGTGATGATGATGATGATGATGATGATGATGATGATGATGATGATGAAGGTGACGACGGTGATGACGATGCTTGTGTGATGGTGATGGTGAGACCGGTGACTATGATGACGACGATGACGATGCCGATCAAGACGATTATGTTGTCGACGGCGACTGGCTGGTGTTGACAATGTTTACCAGGACGATGGCGATGACGACTATGACGATGACGATGCTGAGGATGATATCAACAATTGTATCAGCAATGCTGATGATGATGATGATGAGGATGCTGATAATGATGATGGTAATGAATGTGGTGACGACGAAGACGATGGTTATGACGATGCTGATGATGATGATGTAGGTGATGATGTAGTTGATGATGCATATGTTGCTAATGATGATGTTGGTGTTGATGATGATGTAGGTGATGATGCTGATGCTGATGATGACGACGACGACGACGACGACGACGATGATGATGATGATGATGATGATAATGCTGATGATAATGCTGATGATGTGGAGAATGATGCTGCTGATGATGATGATGACATTGCTGGTGATGCTGCTGATGATATTGATGATGATGATGAGGAGGAGGAGGAGGATGAGGATGAGGATTAGGCTGATGATGAGGATGAGGATGGGGATGCTGCTGATGACGATGACGATTATGATGGTGATGATGCTGCGTCTGCTGATGACGCTGATGATGATGCTGATGATTATCATGATGATGATGATGCTGATGATGATGATGATGATGCTGATGATGCTGATAATGATGATGCTGATGATGATGATGATGATGATACTGATGATGATGCTGATAATGATGATGATGCTGCTGCTGCTGGTGATGATGTTGCTACTGATGATGATGATGCTGATGATGATGATGATGATGATGATGATGATGATGGTGTGTTGTTTCGCAAAACTAGGCCACCTGGGTAGCCTCTGCAAAAGCTCTGGCCCGCACGTGCATTTGCAGAACCCTTGCCTTGCCTCGGCCGACCGTTCAGCGCGCTCGAACCGTGCAGGAGGACTACGTGGGGCGTTCCAGACAGGGCGTCGTCGGGGGATCGAGAAGATGGCATCTCTCCCTCGGCGGAGAATGGCGGAAGTAAATCGGGGACGGCTCCGAAGGCGGGAGCTCGGCGGGAGCCAGCGGAAATAAGCATCCCATCCCCCTTCCTAGACAACTATGATGGCAACATGTGTTGGTTCATGGTTTCTGGAAGTGGCCATGTAGAGGGTATTTGCGCCATCGGGGGTCAGCCGATGCCCTCTAGCCGACCTGGGCGTGGGTTGATTTGTGTTGGGAGTTTCGTGGTGATGTCCGCCGCCCCGGGTCGGTGGCGAGGTCTGCACAGTGAAGGATGGCATGGAGTCAAGGCCGCCTGCCTGCGGCAGATGAGTCCGCAAGGTGGGGAGGCATACTCCCGCGTGCTCGATGCGGTGCCCCAGTACGCGTAGCACGCATAAGCCCAGCACAGATGCACGTCTGGCACGTGGTGACCGTCCGTGGCAGCCCTCCCTTCGTCCGCCATCGCCCTCCTGACCCGTCCCGCGCTCCCAATCCAGTTTCGCACTTGGCTTCCGAGGCTGTACGCCTCGTTTGCCTGCCCCGGCCCAAATCGGAGCAGCGTAAGATTCGAGTACTCCGGAACTCAGGTTTGCCGACGCCATTTGACGAGCGTGTCCTGGATTTTGACCGTTCGTTCCGCTTTCATGGGATATTTGCGGCGGGAGCCCGCGTCAGATTTCAGGTTGGATCTCGTCATTTTGATGGTGGCCCCGTCAGGCCAACCCGAGAACCCCGAACCCGAGTCGTACGTCTCCCCAACCAAGGCGTGCGGATCCGCAGCCAGCAGAGACTGACGCAGTCGATTCATCCACGCGTTGCCTCCTCCTCCTCCTCCTCCTCCTCCTCCTTCTCACCACCACCACCACCACCACCACCACCACCACCACCACCACCACCACCACCACCACCACCACCACCACCACCACCACCACCACCACCACCACCACCACCACCACCACCACCACCACCACCACCACCACCACCACCAACACCAACACCAACACCAACACCAACACCAACACCAACACCAACACCAACACCAATATCTTGTTCCTCCCCTTTGTAGTCGTCGCCGCACTCCTGCTGCTGCTTCTCATCCACGCCGCCTGGGTCCAACCAACGTGCGTCCCTGCCCGGCGCGGGCAGCGCTCTCTCCCGGGCAGGGGCCGCCGCGGCCATGGCCAGGTTCTGCAAAGTCGTGGCCTCCCAGCGGGAGCGGCCGCCGGAGTTTCCCCCCGCCAGGGTGGACCCCGCAGGGGTCACCGACGTCTTCCTCGACTTCGACGCCACGCTCACGGCCCCGGGCAGGGCGGGCCTCTCCGGGTACGTGCTGCCGCTGCTCGAGCAGTGCCGCGGCCTCCGCGTCTGCGACCGCCTGGACCCGGAGGGGCCCATGCTCACCTGGGAGCAGATCGACGCCCGCATGGCGGCGGCCGTGCCCTCGGCGCCCCTCGACTTCTCGGACTCCTCGTTCCTGGGAGCCGCCGAGACGCGGCAGCGGCTCCAGGGCTCCCTGGAGGTGCTCGCGTCGGCGGGCGTGCGGCTCCGCGTGCTGACCACGGGCACGCCGCGGACGGCGCGCGCGCTGCTGGGGGCCGCGGGGTACGACCTGGGCCTGTTCGGCAGCTGGCTGGGGCCCGCGGACATGGCCAGGAACCAGGGGCTGCGGAGCCTCATGGAGAACGGCGACGGCCCCGGAGAGGAGGCGGCGGGCAGCTTCGAGTTCGACGTGGAGGAGGACATCGCCGCCTGCGAGCAGCTGCTGAGCACCGGGGAGGTGGCGCCCGTCCTTCGGCGCATCCTGACCATGGAGGGGAGGCTCTCGAAGGCCGACCTGATGCTCGCTCTGGTCGGCAGGGGCGGCGTCTTGGTCGACGACAACTTCTCGAAGAACATCTTCGATGCGGCCGAGAAGGGAGTCATGTACACCCGCGGCGCGTGGAAGGGGGCAGGGCGAGGGGGGCAGCGTGCTGAGAAGCCCCTCGCCCCGCCGAGTAATGTTCTAAGAACTTGATGGTGGTGGGCCCGGACTGTCCTTGGAACAGTTCTGGCTGAGGCTGTCTCGCGTGTTGGTACATCGGCTTTCTGTTCTGAGGACTTCGCTTTGGTTAGTCGAACATTTGTTTGCTCTAAGAACATCCCGTGGTAGGCCTATAATTAGGAATGCCGGGCGAGTCGGTCCCTGTTGAAATCTCAGGAGCCCCCTTTGCCATCTCAGGCGCCCCGACGGAAGCACCTCAGGAGTGCCCGAGCCCTCCCGAGAGGCCTCCTGCCCCCGTGGCACGCCGTCCCCCTCGCTGCACCCACCGCGCCTCTCTCCCTTCCGCGCGCCGCGCGTCCACGTGTGCCCGGACGGCGTCGAGAGCACGAGCTCGGCGCTCGCGGAGCTTGCGCGGGAGGTCCGCGCCCTGAGTCCGGCAGGAAGCCGGCTGCTCGGGCCTGCACCAGAAATAGCCTCTTTGCGACCGTCACACCCTCGTGCCCCCGCTCGTGGGGGACCAGGAAGGATAGAGAGAGAGAGGCAGGTTCGCGTCGTGCCGACACGGCCACGACGCCGCGGGCGCTCAAGGTTGAACGCCGCCCGGGGCCCAGCATCGCCCGACATACGGAATGAGCTGGCAATCGAAAAGCCGCCGATACGCTTCAAGGTGGAGCCATCCGCACGGTGTCAGAGGCTCCCCGCGCAGGTCGTCGCCGCAGGTCTTCCTAGCCGCATCCACCAGGCTTTCACAGGCGCGGTGTGGGCCCGAGATCTCCCCCCTGCTAGGCCGAGGGGATCTTCCTCCTCCCCCCTGCCGCCTGTCGCGGCTGCCCTGGCCTCACCGTCCACTTCTCCCCCGCCTTCCCCCTTCCCCCTCCCCATGTCATGTCCCTCCCCATGTCCCTCCCTCCGCTTCCCTCCTCCTCCTGTCCCTCGCCCTCGCCCGTCCAACGCCTTCTGCTCCCCCCTCCCCGTCCGTGCCGGCCTTCCCCGCCCCGTCCCTTCCGATTCTCCCCAATTTTGTCCCCCCTTGTCCGGTGGTGACCCGACGCTGAGCAGGTGGGCTGAGGCCAGTGTGATGTGTCCAAGCAGCCGCCCTGCCTGCTGGAGACCCCAGCATGGCCACTGCGGCACGACAGCCAAGGCCACGCATGGCCCCGTTGCTCGGATGCACAAAGGAGGGCCAGGCTGCAGTCGCGATTCGGATCCTTTTTGTTGAGGTGTACACCACGCTCGGAGCTGCGCAGGAATTGTCTCGCGCGAGGGCAAGAGCCGCTTGCCGCTCGGCCACGCCGTGCCAACCTGCCAATGAAACTGCTGCGGAGGCCCCGCAGTGCCCTCCGCCGGCCCCCGGAGCGTACCAGCTAGAACAA